GGTTTGAAGTTCTGTGTCATACTGATGAGATTCAGTAGTGGCAGCATAGATGCATATACAGACTATCTGGATGTTAACAGTACTTACCTTAACTTTTCTTTCGTTTGTATATTCTAATTTCTCTGCACGTGTAGTTTTTAGGTGGGTAAACTGGTATCATTCAGTAATCATATTAGATTTTATGTCGTTGATATTTACTAGGCAACTAGAAATGAAATAATCGGTCATGATTTACTTGGAGTATGAAACTTCCAGTAGGAAGTCGTGGTCAAGGGGGTACAGCAGGCAGGGTGTTAGGACAAATACTCGCCACTAATGACATTAGATAGTCATCGCGCCATATCGTGAGTTGGCAGAAGTTGCAATTCACGGGCCATTGGATCAGGTTCCAGTGGCTTTATAATCTACGAACCCCTGCTTGTAACCGAAAGGTCCTGGCTTCCAAGCCTGGCCGTGGGTTTGTACTTCTGAAGAGACACAAAATAGGACGAGACAGGACTCCCAGGTTTTTTTCAGTGGTTCTCTAACTGATGTCAACTCATGATGAAATCCTCCATGTAATCAAACAATATCCCTACAAAACCAATACTTGAAAATATAAGAAATAAATCGTGCTCGAAGCGTCAACAGCACATTAATGATGATATTGCATTGTCAAAATAATCAGTGTAGCAAAAATTCTTGCTGAGACAATTAGGAGACAGAAAAAAGAGAAGATTGAGCAAAAAATATGCTTTTCGATAACTTCTCTGTCTTGCTCTGTAGTTATGCAAACATAACTTTGACAAAGTAGTTGTTATTGGCAATTATTATGTTTTTTAATAATATCGAGTTGTTAAGATCAATAGATCACAGTTTAAAAGCCTGTGTACGTGACAATATGCACAAGTGTAATATTAAATTGAATGTCAGAGGAAATTAAGGATAGAATTAATGCAACGGATTAAAGATAGTTCAAACTATAACAAGAGCCTGTAGGAGTCTCAAAGAAAAGGGGAAATCATCAGTTTTACAATCAAGTAGTGACGGCCAAGTTAAGGAAAGGGGTTATACAAATTTCTTCTGAACAAATAAGTTTTCTCTCTTTAGGTGGATTGCAATAGTTTAGACTATATGTAGAAGATAAGTTCATAAGGCAAAATTAAAATTAGTCGGAATGCGATTATTATATTATTATTTTCTTGGGTTCCGTGTGGAACATAGGGATTCAGCAGGACATCTTAATTCTTCCATGATCTTTACAGTCCTTTTAGCTATCTTCATCTCCACCTACCACAATCTCTACCATGTCACCTTCGGACCTACACCAAACTTTTGGCTCATTTACCATTTGACTTCCACTCGAGGGTTTGCATGGGGCTTGATGTCACTCGACGGTCTCCTCAGCGTGTGTCCGATCCATCTCCATTTTCGTTGGCATATTTGTTGGGCAGTAGGTTGTTGATGGGTCTGTTGTCCAAGCTCCTTGTTGCTAAACTTTTCTGCCCATGTGATCTTTTGTATTCAGCAAAGGCGGTTGTAGATGAAGGTCTTCAGTGTCCTTTTAGAAATGCTTTTCGTGACGTATATGCCGAGTCTCTGAACCACAAAGGAGCAATGGTTCTCACAAGCGGAAATATCTCCACCTAATTTCCACAAAGTTTGTATGAACATAGAATTATCATTCAAGAGAGACAATGTGCTTGGAATGACAAAGCACAGATTTGATAAGACTTTAAGGTGGAGCTGTTATACTGCAAAACTATTTTTTTCAAGAGAATAATACAATGATCGGAAAATCCTAAATTACCATTCCTTGATACTGTAAAGTGACTTTATCATTTTGAGTGTCTTCATTGGAGGAAGCAGATAAGTGGTAAGGAAAGGTATTTCATTAAATGGTTAGAGGATACAAAAGAAAAGACATCTAAAAACTTGATAGCTGATGACACCAAATTCTTCACAATCATCAGTATACGAAGTGAGGAAATGTTTGTATTCGCAAAAGGGTAGGCTATCAAAAAGAGATCAGTTTTGATGTAACAAGTTTGCACACTAATACTCCGATTAATGCAGCACTGGAGGCAGTTCGGAACTGTAAAACAGGACTAAGTTATCGGTTGAAGAAATAATATTAGGTGTTCATTTATGTCTAACCTCCATTGTATTCAAATTTCAAAATAAAACAAACAGACAAATGGGGTGGTAATGGAATCACCAATATCTCCAGCAGTAGCAGATATACTTATGGATAGTTAGAAAAGTAAACCTCTTAGAAAGTAGAGTGCTGTTTTTAGGCTATATGTGGATGATACATTCACTGTGTTGAAATCTGAACACAACCCTAGGCTCTTCATACATATAAATTCAGCAGTAAATGGAATCAAGTTCACTTTCATGGCAGAAAATGAAAAAGGTGAGATGGCTGTGCTGGATTATAAAATAAGAGGGAAACAGGGTGGTTGGTCAGATACTAGTGACTGTAGGAAACCGTCACATTCACATAGGTATCTGGACACTGAATCATCCTACCCGAAATCGATAAAGGTAGGTTTAGTTAAATGTCTGCGTAATTGAGCCAGAGGTAGTAATAAGTAAGAAGATTTAAATGATGAAATAAATAAGGAAAACATTACTAGTGAATAAATACTCACAATAATTTTTCCAAAAATGTATGTAGGCCCATAAGTAAAGCAGGAGTAGTAATATAAATAATAAGTAATTCAAAGCCTCGAATATACTGACATATAAAGAAGGAACGTCAGAAACCTTACGTAGGATTTTTTTACAAGGCTGGAAACAGGGTAGGATTTAAGGCAACTAATCCATAAAATTTGTCAGCTTAAGGATCTGATCGATCCAATTAGCAGAAATAATACAATTTGCCAAATACCATTTAATGGCTGTGAGGTCAGTTGCATAAGTCAAACTAGTAGATTCGGGTCAGTTTTTTTAATATTTTTTATTTTTGATTACAGCTTGATTCCACACAGTATTTTGGTACAAGTATGGAATTTTCAGCATGTGATATCGGTAGCCCAAATTTACCAGGCCGACCATTGATATCAGGTGTGCGTCGGTAGGGGATCGAACCCCGGACCATGTTCATGGTCGGCGAGAGTCCTGACCACTGTGCCACCGACGCACAGAACATAGAGATTTAGCTAGAACTAGACTGACTGACCCTGATGAAATAATTAATCTGGGAATAGCTCGGCCATTTCAATGCATTTTATTTACGAGTAATCACACCGTAGGGAAAGATGGGGTAAAAGTATTAAAAAGTAACATAAATAGGTAGAGAGATGGTAAATTGCAGAATCTTTATTTATCGAATCAACGCCAAACACGTGCAATCGAAATAACGCAACATCTATACGGGATATACCGAAGTTTGCATGAGAATAAGAGGAAGAGTACGACTGCATAAAACACGTTGTGAAGCCGTGTGAATACACTGATATGGTTGGGAGTAACAAATCGTGCTCGAAACGTTAATGAGTTATTGATACAGTATCACTGTGTTTTAAATCAAATAAACTGATGTAATGTAAAAGTATACTCTTCCACCGATGCCAAATTCTACTGTTACATTATGCTGAGTGTTCAGTCTTAGATAACGAATCTGTGTGTAAAGAATCTGCTGCTTTTGTAAGGGTGATTGTTCTTCTCTTTTTAGATATCTCAGATTCCTTGTCCCATTTGCAGAACATGTGTTTGACTTTGATGACATGATTATACTTTCATGAAGCTCATGTCACAATTCTAAAGTATCTTATTTTTAAACGCTTACCAGACTATTTTCTCAGTAACTTAACTCGTTTTATTCTATCCACCTTTAATTACATTATTTCACCGCCCGCCCACGCATCCAACCTTCACACACACACACTTTTACGCGATCCGCCATAAATGTTTATCTCTCTGCTGTTATGCTTTATTAGTTTGTGACATGTCTTGGTGTGGATAGCAGTAGTATCCACAATGGGATTCACCAGTTGAGTTATACTGTTCCCATTGAGATCTGGACATACCACCTACAGCTTCAGCTCCAAAGTATCATCTACTAGGCTAATAAGCCACCAAATCCACCCCTTGTGCGATGGTTATCAGTTGCTATTGGTCAAAATTATTTTCACTATCCCGTTAGTTGATATGATTGGATCGAAAACCTCGGTCTGTGTTCACGTGTTGACAACAATTGTAGTGAAGATTGCAGGCAGTTTGATCTTTTTTTGTGGTTATCTAAATACCTGGCATGCGATTACATCATTGTCAGGCTTTCTTATCTAATTACGTAAAATCTTTCAGGCCATCTTTTTTTTTGTCTAGATAAGCAAATAAGTCGTAGTGTAAGATCACACACATACACTGTCATAAAGTAGTTATCATAAACTTATCAGCAGTTCAAACAAAATGCACTTTTATTTATTTTATCATCTCTGAATAAATTCAGTGAAGTGTAAACCTTTTCCGACTCGATCTGCATTTACACTGATCTCCCGCTGTTAATTAACGTGATCTGTTAAATTTATAACAGCACATTATCTTCATTATAATAACGAGTTCATTAGTTAAGTGATAAATTAAGTAAATACTCAGTAGGAAGTATGCATAAATGATAAAACAGTCCTATTTAAGTGAATCTATGTCGCACACTTCTACTACTAGTACTCATAAGCCTAAGGATATAGAGATAACATACACATATATGTTTCCGTGAAATGTTGATTTCGTCATAGCACCTCTGTGTCATTCATCCATGTAATTACAACAACACTAACACTCTGTGTTCACTCAACCAATGAGATGCATTGACTTATTTGTTTTCCCCTCCCCTTCCCCATAACTGACCAATCCAAACCAAAGATGTTCTATAATTAAGGTTAAAAAAAACACAACAACAACCGAACAAATAGTTAAGTCAGATTCCCATAAAGAAAGGTGGGTGCATTCTCAGGTAATCACAAAATACATAAATTACAAAATTCACTCATCAGTCATTAATAGTATAGATCGAAATGCAGTCAGAAACCACAACTGGTAATCCTCTAAACATGCCCATTAATAGCACTAGTAGTAGTAGTAATAGTAATAATAATATTAATAATGACCATGTATACAGACTAACAACAACCACTCCAAACAATAAATCAATATTCAGTGCTGATCCCTATCAAATATTATCAATGAATTCATCGTTCTCTGCTAATTCTCCTTCGTCTACATCAGCACTATTATGCAATAATATCGATGGGAATATCATCAATTTACAAATCAATTTTAGTATTAATCAAATTGAATGTATTTGTGAAGTACTTTTTACCAGTCGAAAAATTGAACAGTTGAGAGCTTTTCTATTAAAGATATCAACAAGCACAATGTATTCAACAAGTGAAACTATTATGAAGTGTAGAGCATTAATGTTATTCATTGATGAAAAATTTATGGATTTATTTAAAATTTTGAAAAATTTCTCCTTCACTGCATATAATCATTATGCAATGCAACATTTATGGTATCAAGCGCATTATAGACAAATTGAAAAGTCGCGTGGACGTCTGTTGAATGCTGTCGGTAAATATCGTGTCCGTAAGAGATTCCCTCCGCCAAGGACAATATGGGATGGTGATGAGGTGACGTATTATTTTAAGGATAAATCAAGACATTATCTAACTGAACAGTTTACGCATAATCCATATCCGTCAATTGTTGAAAAGCATGCCCTAGCGAAGCATACAGGGCTCACGTTAACACAAGTGTCGAATTGGTTTAAGAATAGAAGACAACGTGAACGATTGTTAAACGGTAATAGTAAGATAAAAAGGTGAGTATGTAATATTTTTTTTTGCATAAATATCTTTTTCCAGTGATAAGTTTTTCTTGTAGTGACTTCTCACTTCGTAACTATTGAGGAAAACGAGCATTGGTTTAGTATTAAGATCGGATGGAAAACCTTGTGAGGTGTCGTTGGAACATCTCACCACGAAAAATCCAGTTTCTTAAGAGCCAGTTTTCAAGTGGTTGCGACTTCTAACTCCAAGCAAAATGTTATTTTTGGGTAATAGTGATGAGTAGATGGCAAATGTGAAAAGGTTAATTGTCTTCGACTACAAATGTTAGTGTTCTATATCTTGTGTTAACCGGTATAATACGGTGAGCAGTGTTGAGGTTAAGCGTAGTGTGAGATAAGGATGGGAAATCAGTTGACAGGGTTGTAAAGCTACATCAGCTGTGATGGCTAGAACTATTTTTGAGCGTGCCTTCCTATCCCAGTACTGTTAACTGATATAGGATCAGGTTGGAAAAGAGTTAAGGGTGGTCATGCCAAAGTCTGGCATTAATCCATGACCTCTTTGACAGTTGGTTCGAGCTAGTCATGTAGGGAGGTGTAGACTGCCGGAGTGAGGGATTTTAAGAAGCTGATGGCTAAAGACTTGATGATATTAACTCAAAATCGTTCTCAGTGGTGCAAATTTATTCAGTATTTGTAATCTCCCAGACCCATTAATTTCTCATGTTTTCCCTATGTTACTATTCGGTTCTCTATAAGTTTCTTCTCATCAGCAATGCATTGCAGTTTTCTTGAATCTGCTTCTCTACCTTTGTGTGCTACATAGAGTGTCGTAACTTGAACTGCTACATAATTTTATGTTGAGACTTACTGACTGATTCACTCATGGGGATTAGCAGTGGAATCTAGAATGAGTGTTTCGCCCTATTTAGGACTCATCAACTGGATGTACCTGCTTCTCTAGTGAGTGATAGTGTCCCCGATGAGACTCGAACCCTGCACCCATTGTTTCAAGCACCATATAGGACAAGCTTCACTGCTAGTGTACTACCTACCAAATTAAAATTATGTTAATATTAAACATTGTCGAAGAGTCTGTACTAAGACCAAGAATTTCGGTCAGACATCATCAGTCAACAGGAAATAAAAGCCTAATTTAAACTTCACAGACAGAATGTCTCTCGTTCAATTCTACTTTGTGTTTTATTGGTGACATGTCTATACAAGGATCTATATTACTTCTCATTTGGTTATCAAAGGAACGCTGTCTGTCTTGTTTTAAGTAGTGTTTCACATAGTATCCCTGGCTTAAATTAAACTGAACGGCACTAATTCAATAACAATTTAGATAACTTGCCAAAAAAATATGAAAAATGAGAATGTTGAAGTAGCAGCACGTAAAACTGTCTCAAAAGCTGTCCACCTCAATCACACCTCAGAGGGTAATGCAGTCGCCAAGTTACGGCATGAGTAGAAGTAATGAATTGTGATTAGCTATGTATTGAAAGCTGATTACTCTTATAGTGACGAAAGTAATGACTCCCTGTACTTCTTAAATAAATAACAGTTGAAACAGAGTGATATGCGTCCGGAATTCACTGACGATAAATATCTTCTTCATAATATATGTGTACCTATTAACATTTGGATGTGTTCTAGGAACTGTGGTCATTTGTTATTACAGTGAAATGGTGAACTGGTAAAGATGTAGAGTCTCTTAACTGAGCTGGTAAACAGCAGGACTAGTAATCTGGCGGCCTCTGATTCGGGTCCCGCCGCAACTCAGATTTTCATTTCACCCTTAATCTTTACCTTTGTGTTGATAGACTGATATTGATGCCATGCGCATCGGTGGTTCAGTGGTAGAATGCTTACCAACCACTCACGTGATCCGTGTTCAATTCCAGAATGACGAACTCGTAAGCCTCGCCTCATTTACTGGCCGACAGTAGAGGCGCAGAAAGGAAAAGGCAAACAAAATTCCAAAGTTTGAAGCCCTATGTTCTACTTCGAACGACACGGAATAAAAATAACACAAAGGCTATTTCCATCTTGCTATGAATTAATAATTCTTAAGAAATTAATTGACTGTAGCTCACTTATATATTCACAAAATGACACTAATATTAGATAACAGTCGGAAACCACTTGTTGTTTTCTTAGCATTATATGAGATCCAACTAATCAATGGTATGTCTTGCAGCACTGATACCTTGATTCAGAATCTGTTTGCTAACACTTAATCAATATAATTGTTGAATAAAAATGTACTTATAGTCAAAAAATGTGCCAGCCATGAAATCAGGCCAACATCCTTGACTATTATCCAGAGTGGAATAATTGGTATTCACTGTTGATAGATTTTAAACTAAGACGCATAGTTCTCTTTAGTTATTTTTAGTATTTCTTTTGATGATGTTTATTCATAAAAAATTTTCTTTAAAGCCTTATGAAACCGTGAATTTCTAGAAGCAAAGAGAGACAGCAATAACTGTAGATGGTGCAGTTTCATTTTTGTTAGAGAATTCTGTTTTTATTGTATGGAGGACTTCAGTTAGAGAACCACTGGAAAACCTGGGAATACTGGGCAGCTGTTTCGTCCTAGTTTGGGACTCTTCATCAGTACGCACCCACCTCCAGGGTTAGAACCCAGGACCTTCTGGTTACAAGACGAGCTCGTAGACCATTGAGCCACTGGGACCCGATCCAATGGTCCTTGAATTCTAACTTCTGCCAATTCATGACATAGCGCGACCATTTCGCAATGTCTTCTTTGATGAGTTACTGCCTCATCTTCAACCTGCGTACTAATGAACAGTCCCAAACAAGGAGGAATCAGCTGTCCAGTACTCCCTGCAGGTTTTCCAGTGGTTCTCTAACTGATGTCAGCTCATGATGAAATCCCCCATGCAATCAAAACAAAATCCCTACAAAACCAATACTTGAAAATCATGTTTTTGTTGGGACTTACTATTGGTTTTACATGTGAAATGCCTAATGGTTTTTATTCCCTATTTCTGTGGTGATTTTTAAAGGCTTATCTTAGAATGGCATCATTTTAGTAGTAGTAGTAGTGTAACAACAGAAGACAAGGGCCAGGCAACAGAACGTTTATTTCGGAAAATCAACACGTATTTATAGTTTTTGACGAACATTATTTTAGGTTAATATTAGTAGATAATACAGTCTGTTGGTTGGTTGTTTCTCACGCAAAGTTAACCTTGCATATCTTGTGGCTGTGTCAGTTCATGTATAGGTTAACTGTATCCGCCTGTCCACCTTGACCTTTGACCTCAATTACTGTCAACCAATTTGGCTAGCGACCATCTCTCACCACAGTAGTATTGGAGTGGTAGAAGACAAGAGACTTGATAACGGAATGTTTATTTGGAATTTAATGTCTCTGTATAGGGAAATTATGTGCACATTATCTGCAAATCATTATTTGCACAGATCTTCCGTGTTGTACTACTTCTGCCCCCCATCCCGTCTGTGTTTCCTTGTCTTTTTTCTGTGTCTCCCATGTTTCACCGCAACACTGGTTCATTTGCTCTCTTTAACGTCAAATCTATCTTTCCGCTATTTGATATTTTTGTTCCGATGAACGTCTCCTTGTGTACTACTGATAAATTTTATCAGTAGCACACATCGCAGTCATTGTAATTAGCCATAGAGCCAAGAACTCACTTCTTAGTGTATAAACATAGAAATAAGACCTTTACTTGATTCGTGATTCCCATTAACTACAACAGAAAAAGTAGTTTTATACTGACTGAATGAACTTCTCTGGGTACAATGTAATGAAGTACTTTTGTGCTTCTGTAGCTATTCATGAATCACTACTCAAAATCTTGTTGTATAAAGATAAGAGTAGCTGGGGTTTATTTAAATTATTTTGAATCTGCATTGATTGATTTAATGGAAGCAAAATACACGGTAATTGATAACATGTTGGCTTCTTGTGTGGACACTTGGTAATATCTAAAGGTTGACTAAAGAACACTTCAGTGTGCGTTGGTGGCACAGTGGTTAGGACTCTCGCCGACCATGCACATGGTTCGGAGTTCGATCTCTTGCCGACGCACACCTGATACAAATGGTCGGCCTGCTAAATTTGGGCTACCGATATTACATGCTGAAAAATCCATATTTGTACCAAAATACTGTGTGGAATCAAGCTATAATAAAAAAAAACAATCGATGGGTATTGAGTTTATGTCTCCGTGGAACACTAACTCACTGGTATGCAAGTATACCCAAGTCCTAGATCCCATTGACACTTACCATCAACTAAATAACACTAGCCTATTCCATTATGGGTAAATTTTTATTTTAATAGAGTCTCACAGTGTTATACAGTAATATTTACTGATGACGTTTCGAGCACAATTTATTGCTCATAATCATATCAAGGTAATCACACGACTTCCTAAATTCATTTATATAGTTCCATTATTTTTCACTTGATTTCCACTTGATTTGATTGGTAGTATTATTTTCCATATTTCAGGTATGAGTGATGATTCATTCCTATTGCATGTGTTGGGTGTAGATTCGATGAACAAAGATTCAGTAATCAACCTCTCTCTCCACCTACCTAGATTACTTTTTAGAATTTTAACCCTCTCCCACCCTATTGAGTGGTTGTGTGTTAATGCATGCATTGCAATTGCCGAGCTTTTTTCTAAATTACTTATCTTCTCTGGGTCAACCATTCTTACCTTAGCTAAATTCTTATGTTCTGACAATCTGACTACCCCTGACCTACTAGTTTGACCTGTGTAGTTGGCCTCACAGTCATTGCAGGGTATTTTGTAAATTATATTATTTTGTCTAATTGGGTCCACTGGGTCCTTTAACCTACAGAGCTTGTCCCTGAGTGAGTTTGTAGGTTTAAATGCCACTGTGAGACTCTATTAAAATAAAAATTTACCCATAATGGAATTACACTCTACCACAGTGCCCAAGTTTTATTCTTATATCAATAACACTAGCCTATGTTTATTTATCTAGATTATTTAATGAAGCAAGTTTGTATCAGTATTCAAACAGATTTACTGCGGCAATAACCGAACGCCAATGTCCTCCCTACGAGAGGTGAAGGTGTAGTCTCAGAATCTGAAATGAAGAGAAGTGAGAATGTTTATCATCACCTTCTGGGTATAGGATAAATAAATCAGATCAATGAGTACGCTCAAATGATTTTCAAGATCATGATGCAGTGTCAAAGACTGACTATACAATTTGAATTTTTGTGGTATTTTTAAAATTGATTATTGAGCCACAGTTTCACGGCTACATTCGATTTCTCCATGGATGTCATATAGTTTATTTGTTCAAATTATTTTGAATTTCTCGTTGACTTATTTTTTTCATTGGATCGAAATCTTCAGTCTCTACAGCATTTTCATCATGAGCTGACATTAGTTAGAGAGCCATTGGAAAACCTGGGAGTACTGGACAGCTGTTTCGTCCCAGTTTTGGACTCTTCATCAGTACGCACCCACTGGGATTTGTTAACATGTCGGCCTCTAGTACAGACTCTTTGAAGATGCGAGAAGATTAACTTCTTGTGAATGGCTTAATTGTGATTAGCATTAGAGTCTTGAATGCTTATTTGAAATAACGGGTAGTGAGTTTGAATCTTAGTTGACACAGTATCACTACCTTGGATACAAGAAATTTTCCCTGGTGATTCTCAAGTAAGGTAAAATGAACGTCTTGGATACCACTGCTAGCCACAATCAATCAAATAACCTCGAGATGTAAATGACTTGTATTTTTAAAGTCCCGTTCACTTTTATTTATACGATTTTACATGAGTTCAGTTTTATAGTTCAGTGAATAAAATGTTAGTATCCTAAGTGCAATATGGTGGGATCATCTGTTTAGTATTATGAACCCTGAAAAGGATTTTTGGATGTTAACTGAAATACTCATGTCATTATTTTGAGTGTTATTCAAAGTTTAATAGGGAAGTTTATAGGGAACTATTGATTTCGATTTTGTACTGACTAACGCTGCTCACACAGATGTACCGAAAAATTATATACTCTCAGAGATTGCAGTCTTCATCAACCACTGTTACATTAGGACACTTGACCTCTAGATTTTTTTGGTTCTGAGGTGATCCTTATGACTAATGGCTACATCACATATCTGACCAATGTATGCACACTTCATTTTGAAATACGGAATAAAAGAGTAATCACTATCTAGTAATCAATCGATGCGCATGATCTTATTTTAAAGTATGTTAGTCACTGACGAAAAACTATGTCAGTGAAATTTGTAATTTCATTCAGAAAACTGTTGAAGAGTGGCAACAGATACCAAACGTTTTGTCGACTCATTGCTATTACTTATGTTGCTGTAATGTATTTAAAGGCTGACTTTCCACCACAATAGAACAATTCCTTTCGTAGGATGATGATGAAACATTTCAGTAATATTATTTAATGCACTATGACTTATGCATAAATATCTGCCTTCACTGGCTCGATACTGAAGATCACATGGCCAACCAGAAAGGACCAACAACCAGGAACTCTAGGAACAAACATCCCAAAGACCTACTATTGGACAAATATACAGAAGGAAGCAGGAGACCGCTGAGTAAGATCATGCTCCAGGCTGTCGAGTGGAAAAAGAGCTGCTAGTTGGGTATTGATCCTAGTGTGATATAGATGAGGTCGTGTGAGGAAGAGATAAGAGCTTATGAATAATTTGGTAGCCAGCTAAAAGAAAAACTGCAGAAAACAGAGTGAAATGGAGATGTTCTGCTGAAGTCTTATGTTCTCCTCGAAACCCAAAGAAATAATTATAATAATGGCTTATGCAAAGTGTGTAGACGTGACTAATCGGCCTAAGCAGTAGACTTTCACCCACTGGGTCCTCGGTTTAAATCCCCCACACACAGTGTTGCACAGTAATAATAATAATTTTATCCATAATGGAGTTATACTCTTGGTATTAGATGGTTAGAGGCAATCGGCAGGAAGTCTTCAACCTAGGTTTCGTGCTAGTTGACACTGACTATTCAGCAAGGAGTATCTAAAACCTCATAGGAACTCATGTCCCTTCTGAGATTCTAACCCGTAACTGCAGTCACAGACGTCACCACTGAGCTATTCGAACTCGCGATCGACCTCTTATAGGACTGTATTGGATACTTTGACATGAGACTAGTCAGTAACTAGTGTAATGTGTCTAGTCCTTTGTTAGGTGCAAGCTGAATCCTTTCAGTCAGGTGTTTTTATTATAGCCTGATTCAACACTGTATTTTCGGTACAAGTATGGAATTTTCAGCGTCTGATGTTGGTAGCCCGAACTCTGCTTACCGACCAATTGATATCAGGTGTGAGTCGGTAGGGGATCGATCCCCGGACCATTTGCATAGTTGGCGAGAGTCCTAACCGCCGTGCCACGGACGCACAGTGTGGCCGCCATTCTAGGTAGCTCACCATCATGGTGCACTTTGAATTGTTGATATTAGGTGGTTTGAGGCAATAGGCAGTGCCGAGTTTTATCCTTATATCAATAAATCCCACCCAGGCTGCTTCAGCCTCAACGGCTAGGTACTACCTCACACACACAATGTGTACTTCATAGCCTAGTGAGTGATATTTCTCTTTTGCTTACTTAAGTCAGTTCTGACATGCACAAATTCATCTAAGTAGCAATTATTCAAGTGTTGGTTTGTAGGGATTTGATCGGTTACAGGATTTCATCATGAGCTGACATTACTTAGCGGGCCATTGGAAAACCTGGGAGTACTGGAGAGTCCCAAACTAGGACGAAACAGCTGTCCAGTACTCCCAGGTTTTCCATGGGCTCTCTAGCTAATGTCAGCTCATGATGAAATCCTGAAAAATCTTATCACACTCCACTACATGTATTTGATGTTTTCTTCTTAAATAAGGCATCAGTAGCTGCGGTTAAAATCTAAACCCTGGAAAACAAGACGCGTAGAGAAAAGCTTTCTGATAAGGGCCTTATCTTATTTACAAATCATACTGCTTGCCGCTGATAGCTATGACGATTAAATATATTCTGTCAGTTGGTTAACTCTGTCAACAGAATTTCGCCTTTTTCTCTACTGAAGGACCGCTTGTTTGTAGTTACAATCAACGACTGTTGCTTCTACATTGTTTAAAATCACTGATTTTTTCTTTTATCAGCAGACTGCTTAGTTGAAATTAAAGTAAATTCAGTAGTTGTAGAGTTTGTTTTATTGATTTGTGGTTGATCTTATTTATTACAGGAGAGACTAGTTTGATTTTGATTAGGCGACGGCTGTTGTTGAAATCAAACTGATTGATTATTGATACATTTATCGACTGCAAAAATGAATGTCAGCATAGACAGTGTGATGTGTAAGCTATTTACAAAAGATTATCTGGTTTATCAATTCATCAACGTCAACAGATCAAATCAGTTGACTGGAATCTGTCGCCTCCATATGCTTCGAGTTCATTTACATTTATAGAGACAAAATGCTGAATAGTACGTATTTTAAATTTCAAGTGAGTGTTCTTCATATTCTTGTAATATAATATTATGCATGTGAACTGTAGTCAGTCAGTCAATAGTGAGCGGTAATCTTTCATGCTTATTCATCTCCAACGAAACTAAACTGTTACTCCCATCTCGTGCTCTGTAAACCTTCATTGTATTGTGTCAAATTCATTGTGGGGAGGCCTGATAGCTTGGGTCATTTTGTGCTATAAAATGAACAGCTCTTATTGTTACCATTAGCGATCAGGGTTAGACAAACGTGTATTTTATATATGCCCGTTATAACAGATTAGCTTTTTCTGTTGTTGTATCCCTTGAGTTAGTAATATAATGCAAACAGCTAGACAATGGTTCACAGCTAATTCCAAAAGACGTGTTCCGCTCCTAATTTCGAATCAACAGCTAAGTGCATCTACATCCCATTGAGTGATGATATTCCTAATTTTGATAAAGGAAGAAAACGGAAATTTACCACATAAAATGATATCATCATTCTACTTCACACGGTCTCATCACCAGCTGTGGAGACTACCTGAAATTACAGTGGTTGTAAAAAGTGAAAATCACATAATTCAATGTTTGATTGGTGGTACGGAAAATATTATGAAATTAACGCATCCGAAATAAAAGCATTTCAAACTCTGAGGTGAACATGCCATCTATTTATATGCTTTAGAGATAGAAAAGGAGGTGAGGGGGGCAATGCAGCGAACATAAAAAAAAACAGTAAACAGTGTTAGCTTATTAGTTCACATGGAGGCTCATAAAGGTAACTGTTCATAATAGTGAAACTAGTTCAGTGAGCTGAAATCATTAATATAGATGACTAATCAATGTAATCAAAATGCAGTCACCAGAGGAGTGATAGGTTGTGAATACACTCTCTTTCAATATGCATTAGTTTTGTTTGAAACGTTTGATTGCAATAGCTTCAGCAAATCGTAGTAAATTTCCTGTCTTTTGTGTGTTTAATATTTTGATGGATTTAGAAATCTCCACAGAATGACCCATATCCACAAGGTCTCTCTCTGGTTACTGTCCTTTGCGAATACCTGCTTCCTTTTAGGCATAAGTTTCTTAAGGGAGTAAGTACAGCGGAGGGACAGAAAGAAGGGCTTCAGTCCAGTTTTCTGAACATATCCCAAGAAACTTTTTATTGTATTTTTCTGTTTTCTGCATTGCCCCCCTCACCTCCTTTTCTATCTCTAAAGCATTAAAAAATAGATGGCAAGTTCACCTCAGAGTTTGAAATGCTTTTATTTCGGATGCGTTAACTTCATAATGTTTTCCCTACTACCAATCAAACATTGAATTATGTGATTTTCACTTTTTACAACTATTGTAATTTTAGGCAGTCTCCACAGCTGGTGATGAGAACCTGTGAAGTAGAATGATGATATCATTTTGTGTGGCGAATTTCCTTTTTCTTTCTTCATCAAAATTTAGCAAAGGGACCAAGAGTATGAAACATATTCCCAATTATCCTACAAGTCAGGCAAAATGCATGATTTCAGAAATATTCATTACTATTCTAGACAATACTGTTAGTGGTGAATTTCGAAGGAATTCACAATAATGCAAAGAAACACTAAAGGTTAGTTCCAATATCATTGGACTGATTTGCCTTAGTATATTGTTCAAACACACACAATTCATCGAACAATAATTCAACTGAAAAGTCTTCCTTTCTTTGTTGACAGTTTTTATAACTGATACTGAATGCATAAATAACCAGACAAGATATTACTTCATTGGGTTCCGAGTGGAACACTAGCTTCAGCAGCACATCACCATTTCACTTTGTCCTCTACAGTTCTCTTTATCTCGCTCCACGACCTCCTATAAACTTTCATCTCCTCCTCACATGATCTCCTCCACGTCACGCCAATGTGATGGTTTCTCACTCGGGTTCCACTTGAGGACCTATCTGATGTGTGATATCACACAAAAGTATCCTTAGTGTGTCCCCGATCCATCTCCTTCTCCTTCTGCATATGTGTTTAGTCATAGATTGTTGTCTGGTTATTTTCCTATCAGAGTTTCTCGCTCCTTATCCTTTTTGCAGTCGGCCATCTACCCTTCAGTGTCAAGGACAAATAGCTGTTGATAAAAGTCTACAGCAGGCAGTTGAAAATGATTTAAGTGACGCTAATGCCAAGTCTCTGAACCACATATAAGCACTGAAATGACACTAGTGCTGATGATCCAGACCTTTGTTCCTATTTCATTCAACCAACTCCCTTTTTTAGTTTGAACAAACTTTCTTTTCATGTTGAATGCAGTAGGTTTTCATACCCAATTCAACATACTGAAGGCCTGTGTCGTTTTTCCGACCCTACCTTTGACATCCAAATCTGTATTGCCTGTAGCTGAAACGACGCTGCCTGGATAAGTGAAGGATGTGACCTCCTTCAAACTTCTCCCATTGATGATAACCAATGCTTATTAGTTCGGTATCTTCATCACCTCTGTCTTCCCTGTGTTCACCTGGAGCTGTGTCTTCTCTACCTCTTGTGACAACTCCTTGGTTTACGCCTATAAATGTTTGAGTCCTCCACTAAGTTCAGGTGTTCTAGTGTCAAATTAAAAAAAGATTCTCTCGGTCTCGTATGAGTTCCTGTGTTTATCGTTCCCCTCATTCCAAAAAAAAATTCAACCTAATTGCCTTTAAAACTTAGTGAAGACTGGTTAGCTTTAGTTCTGACTTACTCCAGAAACTTCTAATCTCATAACCTAATAGATAACAGTTCACAGTTAACTTAGATCAGTAAGCCCAGGCGAATTTTATTAAGATTTGGTAGACTTTGAAAATTTTTTATTGATTAGAATGCCTGCTACTGTTTCACTGGTCATTTAGGCTTTTTCTTCCTAAGTTCTCAAGCTTACGTTAATGTACAGAGTTTACCACTTAAATGAACATGTGATCGAGCTAGAAGCCTAACTAGTAAATCAGAATCCAGCAGATTTTATTCGAATGTGTATCTAGACCCCTAAGGAAGGTAAAGGTAGTAATGTAAATAGTGAAAATAATATAAATGTAATATGGAATTCAAAGCCGCTATATTACTATCATATAAGAAAGGAACATTAGAAGCCTTACATAGGGTTCTCAGTGAGTCTAGAATTAGAGTGGCACTTAAACCAAGCACTTCTTTCAAAGAAAAACTTTGTCGGCTTAAGGACTCTACAATTAAGAAAAATCATATGATTGATCAGATATCATGTGTTGACTATCAACCCGACTACATAAGTCAGACTAGTAGATCAAGGTCAGTTAGATTATCGGAAAATAGAAATTTAGCTAGCATGATTCACTCTGCTATGTTAAACAATCTAGGAAAAAGCTCAGTTATTGCATGTGATCACACAGCATGTTTCAGTTTGCAGTTTGCAATTTATTTAGGATAGTAGGCTATATGCCTGTGTTAATCCTTTCGATTTGTTACACACAGGAGGTCTAATCTCGCCTTGAATGAATCAACGGATGGCGCTGATACGACGTGTTCCGGTAGGGAGTTCCAATGGTTCACAATCCGATGCGAAAAACGGATCTCCAAACGCAGACGATTCGACCGTGGTTTTTGAACCTTGAGGTGATGTCCTCGCAATTGGTTGGTGCTAGAAGGAAGAAATAAATTAGATAAATTAGCTCCAAAATCATTTCTTAGGATACGGTATGCTAGTATTAGGTCACCCCTAAGTCGTCTGTATGACAGTGGAAATAAACCCAGTCGACTTAACCTCTCTTCATATGAGAGGGTTGAGAAACCCTTTATTAGCTTAGTTCCTACTCTTTGCACTTTTTCTAATAAGTCTATTTCGTATTTGAAACACGGGCTCGCTGCCTGGATCCCATATTCCAAATGAGGTCTGATATAAGTCGGATATAATATACGAAATATTTCAGCGTCAAAATTCGCAAAAGCTTTGCGTATGGCCCATAATATTCGAAAACCCTTAATGGCTGCAGCTCTACAGTTTGTTGCTGTTTTCAAGTCATGCTGCGCAACCACTCCCAAGTCCTTGTACTCAGTGACCACTGGAAGAGTAATGCCATTCATTGAGTAATTGTGCACGTGACTATGAGATACATGCATAACTACACTCTTGCTTAAGTTAATCTCCAAGGCCCAGTGCTTACACCAATCACTTAACAAGTTTAAATCTTCCTGCAAAGCAAGTTCATCACTGTCATCGTGCAAAGCCCTCCATATCTTGATGTCGTCAGCAAACAGTAAGCAGGATGACTTAACTACCGATTGAATCTCATTGACATAAATCAGGACAAGAAGTGGGCCTAGAATTGTACCCTGAGGAACGCCACTCTTAACCGATTCCCATGTTGATAAAATCCCGTTAACTCGTACTCTTTGTCTTCTGTCCTTTAGAAAGTCTTGAATCCAGTCGGCAACCACTTTATTGATTCCCAGACTACCTAACTTTACTAGAAGACCTGAATGAGAAACCCTGTCAAACGCCTTGCTAAGGTCGATGAATATGGCATCCACCGGTATATTAGCATCAGCTGAGCTTGCCCAACTTTCTCTGGCCAAAAGAAGGTTGATCAAGCAAGAATGACCTACTCTAAAACCATGCTGTTCCACAGCGAAAAGTTTGTTCCCTTCAATGAACTGAATGATAGCATCACGAATTATTCTTTCTAGTAGTTTAACAACAATACTGGTCAAACTAACAGGACGATAGTTCTGAACTAAGTTCCTAGATCCGGCTTTGAAGACCGGACTAATGATGGCATCTTTCCAGTCTCTTGGACATTTGGACTGGTCCAGAGACATATTGAAAATTACCGACAATGGCTCGGCTATGTTTTCAGCCAATGCTGTCAATATACGTGGGTGGAGTTCATCAGGGCCACTGGACTTACCAGGACTGAGCCTTAGAAGGTACTTTAGGACAGTATCCTTTCCAATGTATAAGGGTGCCATTTTTAAGTTACCTTCTGGAAAAGTTACAAAGCTGGTATCAATATTATCAGAGAATACTTGAC